GGACCTCAACTTTTTTTTTTTAACTTGTCCCAACCACATATGGCAGACCACTAACCATTGTGGAATGAAAGGACACTCATACCCTTTTCACTGGGCCACCTCACCTCACACAGCCACACACACCAAAACTGTCACGTATCTACAGGATTTTATTGGCTGAGCTCTTTCACACACTGTGATTCATAGTTTTTGCCTCAACAGCAGGAAACACGGCCTTGAACCTGAGAACCCACTGTGAGAAAGGTTTCTAAGGGAGACAGAATTTTTCTCTACTCAGCCTGCTCCTTCCTATCCTATCCTCCCCTTTCTTATTAAGTTTTTTAAATTATTGTGGTGTTATAGAATGTTTTAGGCCCTGGCCCAAATTCCTAGGTTTCTTAGGTCAGGTCTGACCACTTGCCCCAACTTGCCAAATACAAAAGACAGCAATGGTGAGGAGTGGAGAAGGGGAGTTTATTATACTGCACTGGCAGCGTGGGAAGAAAGGGAGCATCCAGCCCTTCTTCAGCCATCTTCCTCAACAGACATTTGCCTTAGGTTTAAAAAGGAAGAACTGGTGGCAGGGGGACAGGCAGGCACAATTATTAAACAGTCCCAGTCATAGAAGTGTTCTGTGGTCAGAGGTAGCACAGATGGTCTGGCAGCTCATGGTCTCAGGATTAGTCAGGTGGGGCCTTGATGCCTGGCAGGGTGTCCAGTCCTTCCTGGATTCCAAGATGGCTACAAAGTGACTGCAGGAGAGAGTGGCTCAGAGCAAAGAATAGAGATACAAAAAGGCTGGGATGCCTAGCTTTTCTCCCGCCTTCAGTTGATTCATTGGCCCAGGTAAGGAGTCTGCACTTTTCATCAAAAGTAGCTTTTAAGCCCCTCGTACAGTGATAACAAATAGTTTCCTGTGTTATGCACCCAACTGCAGCATCCAGCCAGAACCTTTGTGTCTTCCCAAACCGAAGCTCTGAGCCCACTGAACGTGAACTCGTTGTTCTCTCCTTCTTCCAACCCATGGGAACTACCACTCTGTCTTCTACTCGATGAACTTAGCTACTCTAGATGTTAATGGTCAGAAGATTTCCAAATTCTTTGTGTCCAGCGTGGAAGAATCCATGGCAGGACACACAGGGGTAAATGAAGTTTATTAAAAGCTAGAGAAGGGAATTATAAAAGGGGACATGGTGGGACCAGGCGGAAGCTGAAAGCAGAGTGTGTCTTTCTCCTTTCCGGAAGGGAAGAACCTGGTGACTCTTAACCAATAATGGATGAGTGGGGAGGGCATGTGTCCCTGGGCCAGGGGATGGTGGTTTGAGTTGTCCCTGAGTTTGGGTGTGAATAACCTACACACATTTGAAGTTGAAAAGAAGGCTCAGAGAAAGAGAGGGACGTTCAGTCTGAAATACAATATTGAGTCATGTATGTTCTAAGAGTCCTGAACTTTCCCTAATTCTAGCCTGCTCATAGGAACCTCAAATAAGTGAAATCATACAACAGTCGTCCTTTTGTTTCTGGTTTATACCAGCGTAGTGTCCTCAAGGTTCATCCCTGTTTGGAGCATATGTCAGAATTTCCTTCCCTTTAAGGCTGAATAATATTCCACTGTGTATCTCTACCACATTTTGTGTATGCATTCAGCAACAATTTGGTTATTTATACCTTTTGGCAATTGTGAATAATGCTATGAATGTTGGTGTACAAATATGTGTTTGCATCCCTACTTTCAGTTATTTGGGGTACATACTCAGGAGTGGACTTATTAGATCAAATGGTTGAAACCAGGGTTTTGTTTTGTTTTTTTCATTGTAAAAGGTATGTGTTGATCATATACAAAATAAGGAAAAGCTTATGTATCACAAACATACAGTAGGTACAGTAAAAATACCCTGGGGGCCAGGTCTAGCACTTCCCCTCCTGGACAATAATTTAGCAATAAATATCACCCAAGGAAGATGTGGGGGCACCAATACTGCTGTCTGCTGAGGCCAGGCCCCTGACTGCCCTACACTTGTGCCTGAACCTTACCTTGCAGCCAGCCCCTCCCCACTTAGAAGGACCTTAAAGAAGGACCCCTACCCCACTCCACATCTCAGGGTACCCCCCCCAACTTACTCCTGACTTTAGCCTTCACAGGGCAGGCAGGAGCTGATCAACTCTACTTGGACATACCTCTCAGCGCTAGACCAACCAAGCTGGACGAATGATAACCCTTGTCCTGTTGCCCTAAATTGCCAGGGGAAGGCTTTCTGTACCCACTCTGTTTAGAAACTGGAGATTTGGACACCAGGCCCAAAATCCTGGGCTTCCACATGTCAAGTCTGGCCACTCCCCCCTGGATGTCAACAAAAGAGACAGTAATGGCAAAGGGCAGAGAAAAGAGGTTTATTACACTGCCCAGGACACACCACTGGAAGAGGCAGAGAAAGCACTCAGCCCTTCTTCAGCCATCTTTGGGGTACAGGCACAAGCTTTAGCTTTAAATAGACAAAGAATCAGAGCAAGGGACAAAGGGTATATATAGTTAAGCAGTCACAGTCACAGGCCTGGTTGGTCATTATCTCAGTCCTTGTTCTTCAAGGGTTCCAGAGAAGTTATGGCTGCCATCACTTGTAGGGAGTCATCTGATCCCAAGACGTGATCACTCCTGCTCCCTGGTGCAACCTCAGCATTATAAGTAATTGTCCTCATTTGAGGGGTGGTCTGTTCTGCAAGCCTCCACTCTTCCTTAGGGGTAGTTTTGGTCCCTTGTCATAAAGATGTTTCCTATCATTCCTGTCCTTCCTTGATTCTAAGATGGCTGCAGAGAAAATGGCTCAGAGCAAAGGACAACAGGCACAAAATGGCAGCATATCTGCCAAGCTTTTCTCCTGCTTTTAGTGGCCCAAGTAAGGAGCCAGTGCTTTTCAGAAAAGCAGATTAAGCACCTCTTCCTTGGTGGTTCTCTGTTTAACTTTTTGGGGAACACCATACTGTGTTGCAGGGCAGCCACACTGTCTTACACCCACTCGCAATGTGCAAGGTCCCCACCCATCCCCCACACCCTTGCCAATACTTGGTATTTTCTATTTTATCTCATTGTGATTTTAGTTTGCTTTTCCCTAAAGACTGTGATATTGAACATCGTTTCATGTGCTCATTGGTCATTTGTATATCGTCTTTGGAGAACTATACATTGAAGCCCTTTGTCTTTTTCTTTTAACATACTAGGATTTGAACTCGGGGCAGTGCTCTACCACTTGAGCCACACCTCCAGCCTTTTTTGCCCTGGTTATTTTGGAACTAGAATCTCTCTTTTTGCCCAGGCCAGCTTGGACCAGGACCCTCCTGTTTTAGCTGCTCTCCATAGCTGGGGTGACAGACGTGTGCCACCATGCTCAGCTTTTTTTCTGTTGAGGTAGAGGTCTCAAGAACTTTTTGCCCAGCCTGGCCTCGAACCACGATCCTCCTGGTCTTAGCCTCCAAAGTAGCTAGGATGACAGGTGTGAGTCATTGGCGCCCAGCTCCTTTGTCTATTTTAACCAAGTTGTTTGGTTTTCTGTTATTGAGTTGCAACTTTTATAGGTATATATTCTGGATCTTAATCCCTTATCAGATGTATTATTTGCAAGTATTTTCTCCATTCCGTGGGTTGCCTTTTCACTCTGTTGATAGTGTCATGTGATACCCTGCCCTGCCTTTTAAGGAACTAATTCATTATTTCCATACAAAACACAAAATTCCCTGACTCATCCATGTGGCAATTCTGGATTTTTTTTTTAAAGACTGAGTCTCAAAACTCTCAACTCAGACCTGTGTAACCCAGGATGGCCTCAGACTCTTGATCCTCCTGCCTCAACCTCCTGAGTTCTGAGATTATAGGCATGCACCACCGCACCTAGCTGTTCTGAATTCTTAAAAATACCTCCTAAATGTTTGGTAGAATGGCCTAGGGAAGTGAAATAAAAGGAAAACTTGACTAGTCACACTCTGTTCCCCTCTGCAGTTCCACATTTCTAAGGAAAACCCAGGGTTACACAACATGAATTTGGCTTAAAAACAAATGGGGGGAGGGCAAGGGGAATTAGGCGATGGACTGGAGGGTAAAGGAAGGCTAGATGACAATGACATGACCTGTCAGGATGGGGACAACATTCTGTGTCGGGCACCATTCTAGGCGATTAAAACCCCACAAAACCATTGCCAGTGTAAGAACTCCTGCTCTACAGATGAAGAAGCATCCCAGAGAAGTTAAGTAGTCTGCCCCAAATCACAGACTAACAAGCAGTAAAGCCAGAAATGGAACCCTGGCCATGGGCCCAAAAGGCCACTTTGCTGGGCTTTCTGTGACACTGTGTGGGCCTTTAGTCTGAATTATTTGAACTCAAACTCAAATGATGAGTGAGAACCCCTCAATAAGCTGAAACAAATTCTCACTGAAAATAAGATTTGACTTCACGTGTGCCTACAATCTGAAAGTTGCACAGTGCCAAGTCGGGGTGGGGTGCAGCTAAACAGAATGCTCCAACAAGCTGTGGACAGAGCCGGGCGCCAGTGGTCATGCCTGTAATCCTAGATAATTGGGAGGCTGAGATAGGGAGGATCGAGTCAGCCCAGGCAAATAGTTCCTGAGACATCCCCCATCCCCATCTCCAAAATAACCAGAGCAAAGTGGGCTGGAGGGGTGATTCAAATAGTACAGCACCTGCTTTGCCAGCAGGAAGACCTGAGTTCAAACCCCAATCCACAAAAAAAAAAGAAAAGAAAAGAAAGAGAAAAACATCAAAAAGAAAAGAAAAAGAAAAAGAAACTGGATGGGAGCCTTCATTTCAGATGCAATTTAGCAGTCCTTTATCAAATTAAGTGTGTAACGTACTACCATGAACTAGCAAGGTCACTCTGGGCATACATCCCAGAGAACCTTTTTTTTTTTTTTTGGCAGCACTGAGGTTTGAACTCAAGGCCTCATACTTGCTAGGCAGGCACTCTACCACTTGAGCCACACCTTCAACCTTTATTTGTGTTGGGTATTTTCAAGATAGCATCTCTGGAATTATTTGCAGGGGTGGCTTCGAACTGCAATCTTTCTGATCTCTGCCTCCTGAATAGCTAGGATTACAAGTGTGAACCAGAGGTGCCTAGTCACATCCAGCTCTGTAAATCATAACTTTTATGTACAAAAGCGCTACATTTCCCAAGACTACATACAAAGCAAAGGGTGTACATGGAATGCACTAGAATGCTGTGGGGAAAGAGACTGGAAACTGGTGATGTAAGAACATTAAAGGCATCCAGACAGCAATGTGGAAGAGAGGCATCTTGCACAGTGGAGGTAAGAACAGGACTCTGGACCCAGCTCTGCCATGTTGTGCCTAGGAAACCTAGGAACACTGTTGCACCAACTCGATGCTTGTCTTTCTTGTCTGGAAGGTGGCACTCTGTGTCATTGAGGATGACTGTCAAGGAAAGCTGTGGGGTAGAATGGAACATTTGTGACCTTTGAGACCAGAGCAAGCTATACCAAACAATCACTGGGTAACCTGGCCAATTACTGCACACGCTAAGCTCTGCTTTAAATGAGGTTGTCAGGTCAGGCCTTCCTGAGAAAGGGACGTTTGAGCAAAGCCTGGAAGGAGGAAAGAAGGGAGTCATGGGGGATTAGTAAATCAGAAGGAAGAGGCAGTTGTACCTATAGGAAGGAAAAAATGATGGAAAGTTTTCATACAATAAGCAGCCAGCAAATGTTGAGTGGTCACCCCTGTCCTTCCTGTCACCAAGGGGTGAGACACTAAGAACACCTCTGAGCAAGTGACAGTGCACTCTGGTTGCTGCGGTTCTTTGAAACAGAACTTTTGTACAGCACCTCAGAAGTGACCTTAGCTGACCAAACAGGCCTAAACTGGAAGAGTCCACATGGCTCATGCCTATAATCCCAACTACTTGGAAGGTGGAAATCATCAGGATCTCAGTTCAAGGCTAGCCTAGGCAAATAGTTTGCAAGATCCATCTCAACCAATGGCAGATATAATGGTACCCACCTGTTATCCCAGCTATGCAAGGGATCACAAATAGAAGAATCCATTTATGCCCAGCCTGGGCATAAATGGAGATGTTATCTCAAAAAATACCCAGCGCAAAAAAGGGCTGGAGGTATGGCTCAAGTGGTAGAGCACCTGCTTAGCAAGCATGAGGCCCTGAGTTCAACCCCTGGTACTGCCAAAAAAAAAAAAAAGGACCCCCTGGGACTTTGGCTTGCATGGGGAACACAAGAGACCTCAAAGAGGAATCTAGAAACAGCAAGGAGGAGGTCCCCACCAGCAACCATTCTGCTCAGGAGACTCCTGCCCCAGCATGTGACAGACAACGCCTAGGGGACTTAGCAGAGCTTGAAGAAGGCCCAATCACATGGTGTAAGGAGAGAAGGGAGGAGACCCTCAATTACAAAGGCAACTCTAGGTTTGAATGGCACCCTGCCACTTATACCTCTTTTACCTTTAACCATCACTGAATGTCTCTAAGCCTCATTTTCCCCATCTGTAAAATGGACAAGAAAATCCCTAGTCTGCAGGGTGATTGTGAGGTGGGTACTCAGTGAGATATGTGACATTAACAAGCAAATAGCTGGGGCTCAATGGCAACAAAAAAGCAATCCCCTTCCTTGGGCACAAGGTACCTGGGGAGACAGCCACTGTGTCTTATTCAGTCAGCTTGGGTCCTTGTGTATTGCATTCTTTAAAGTGGAGGTAAAACCAGCTACCTTCAGGGGGCTATGAAGTTCAGTGAGATAAAAGATGACAAGTGTGCTTACTATAGTTACTGAACCAAAATAAATATTCCATAGGTGTTTGTTGGGTATCTGAATGGATGGATGAATGGAAGGATGGATGGACAGACAGGTGGATCCATGGGTGAGTGGGTGGGAGGGCAGCCCGCTGGCAGGATGACAGGAGGAACATGGTTTGTTCTGCAGAAATACCAACTTGGCACAAAGCCCAGGTGCTTTCCAATAGGGCGTTCTTCTATCTCTTTGCGGCCTTATGTCGTGGTAACATGGGGGTAAAAATAGGTACAAACACGCCCAGCTCCAGGAGAGTGTGATCACACCAGTGTCTGTGACTCAGCTCGATGAGGCCAGGTCTGGCAGGAGCCACAGTTCTGCATCTGAGATCGTGGTAGAGATCTTAGAAAGGTGATGGTCACAGGAAACAATGGCCTTCCTGGTGCACAGGGTGCCTTGGGACCCTCATCAGTGGCATTTCATGAGAAGAATGGCAGCTCAGCTCTCCCATCTCTGCTGCAAGAACAGAGATGCAGGGAACGGCCAGGCCTGCAGCTGCTTCTGCTCCACGCAGGGAAGCCTCTGCAGCAACTCAGACCCACACACACGAACCTGAGTGGGAGTAAGGGCTGGGCTGACATCCTAGGAGAAGCAGGGGTAATCATGAGTCACCATCCTGGAAGTGTCAGTTATTCTTTATTGAGCGCTTAATGAATGCAGATGCTGGGCACTTCGTGCATGTGACAACAGGCCTTCCTGAGGTGTGCCATGGACGTCAGCAAATGAGGGACTTCACATAGAACACAGAGATCTTTCTGAGAGGCGTTACTGGGGTTTGAACTCAGGGCCTCTTGCTTGCTAGGCAGACACCCTACCACTTGAGTCACTTCAACAGCTCTTTTTCCTTTACTTATTTTTGGGGTAGGTTTTTGCCCTGGGTCTGCCCTGGACTGCCATCCTCCTATTTATGCTTTCCATGTAGCTGGGATGACAGGTGTGCACCACCATGCACAGCTAATGGTTGAGATGGGACCTGACTTTTTACCTGGCCTGACTTCGAGCCACTGTCCTCCCTCTGCATACATGGGATTACAAGTGTGAGTCACCTCACCCTGTGAGAACCATTTTTAATAAGTAGGGTTTCGTGTTTATGTTTACCTCCTGCTTGGGGCAGATGGCATTAGCTTTCATTTACAAGTTTTCCTTTTTGTTAAATATAAGTTTTAAAAATTGATTCAACTTAACAAATTTTATTAGATACATATACAGGCGATACATGGAGACTGCAAAACTTGCAAAGTGCATGCAAATGACTGAAATTCACCAAAGACTGCATTAGCATAGCAACATTTAGAGCTTTTTGGGTTGTAATAGACGCCTGTTCAAATCAACTTAAGCAAGAGAAGTCCGGAAGCCTACAGGACCCAAAGGAAGGAGTGCAGGACAGCCGGCTCACCCTGAAAGCCTTGTCCCCTCTTCCCTCCAGGCTCCTGGAACCAGGCTTCTCCTTGGCTCTGCACATCCTCCAGCAGGGCCATTTTCTCCACTACACTCATGCAGGTGGCCTCCCCACCCCCTTTATACACACACAAACGCACAGGTAAACGGTCACAGCTCTACAGTTTGTAGGTATGCAGGTCAGTGGCCTGCAGACCCCAAAATGGCATCCCTGACTCTACAGGGCCACCTCTTGTCCTTTCAGCTCTTTTTTTTTGGACAGCACTGTGACTTGAACTCACGTCATCACACTTGCTAGGCAGGTGCTCTACCATTTGAGCCACTATGCCAATGTCCTTTCAACTCTTATGAGATGATTGAGGGGTCAAATTCTCAGAAAAGAAGAGGACCTGAGGTGAGCAGTCACCCAACCACAAGGCAACTGCCTTGGTGTTTGCTCTCACACAGCCCTAGAAGGTAGGTTCTACTTCACAGGTGACAACACTAAGAGGCAGAGAACTGAATGCCCAGGCCCTTGGCAGGATGTGACAAGGACTTGAACCTGGATGTGACACCAAAGTTCAAGTATGCCACCTGCTCACCATCAGCTATCATCATAGACCCAAGCAAATTATTGGCCCATCAGGAGACATTTATCAAATCGACAATCTAGTGCTTGCCTGTGAGACAGGAAACGCATGTCCCAACTTCATGGAGACACTGGCTGGAAGGAAGATTTCTCAGAGGGAACACAGTGCTCCGGAAACCTAAGAAGGCTCCTCCAAGTCCCCTAAGTACGAGGATGCCAAGGCCTCAGTCTCAGGGCAAGAGAGGCATCCCATTTGAATTTACTGGCCAAAAGTCACAAGAAGGTAGGACCAGGTATGATGGTACATACCTGTAATCCCAGCTACTCTCAGGCAAAAATCAGGAAGGTCACAATTCCAGGCAAAAAAGTGAGTGAGACTCCATCTCAACAAACAAGCTGGGTATGGTGAAACTTGACTGCATTCCCAGTAGGTATAGATAGGAGAACTGTAGCCTGAAGCTGGCCTGGGCAAGAAAGTGTAAGACTCTACCTGAAAAATAACTAAAGCAGAAAGGGCTAGAAATGTGGCTCAAGTGGCCTGCCTAGCAAGTGGAAGCCTCTGAGTTCAAACCCAGGACCACCAAGACGAGAAAACATCACATCCTGCCAAGATCCTCAGGAGAAGCTGACACCTGCCAGCTGTTGGGACAGCAGCTGTCCCTCCCACTTCCTGGAAGCTGGCTGAGGGGCCTCCGAAAGAGGCCAGCGCCTGTTACAACAGAAACCTCTGGAGAGCCACGTTCCCCAGCCTGGACAAACACAACTTTTGCTTTGAGTGGCCTTTGCTCCCCCATAGTGGTTCTGAAGTGGGGTCTGCTATTGAGCCCAAAGGCTGGGCAAGGGACAAATCTCCCTCCTGCTCCCTCAGAGCTGATCCAGACCGAGGAGAAGCCCGAGCAGAGACAGCAGAGAAGCTCCCACCCATACCCCGGCTTCGGTCAGTATCTTTGTCCTCATCTCATTTGGAAAAGGTTGCTGGGTGAGCCAGAATATTCCATCACTGCCAAATGTCATAAGGACCTTATGCCTGTGGGGGACAGAGGATGGCTACACCAAACTTCCGTCTAAAAGTCCTTCCACACAGCCAGGGAGAGCCCCTCCCCCACCATAGCACTTGAGATTCACTGTCCCAAGCTGCTGTCCATGGGGTGAACTGGGTGGCTCAGTGTCCATTCCCAAGGTTTGCACCTGGCCTCGATGGTCCTCCTAGCCTCAGGGGCTCCGGGCAAGACCATCAGTCAAGGTTAGCTATGTGTACCCAAAGCAGATGAAGGGGACATTCAGTTTCTGGATTTCCCAGCAGTCCAGTGCAGCCCTGAGCCCTGCTCAAGAGAGAGGTCACCTCCATCTGTAATGGGGCATCAGTGACCAGAAAGAGGTGAACACGGCCCACAACCTCTTCCCTCAGCTCAGTGAGTGGGGTCCCTGGAAGAGAAGACTTGGCCTGGCTAATTTTTAAGGGAAGCAACCGGGATCTGGTTTAGTGGCACCACCACCTCGGTGCCTGTGTCTGTAGTGGCCCGGGAGCATTTGCGGCTGCCACGCATGGAGAACAGCTTCTCGCTGAGGTGCTTGCGGAATTTCTTGGTGAGGAAGCAATAGATAATGGGGTCTAGAACACAGTTGGTGCTAAGGAGGCAGAGAGTGACCTGATGGGCATCGTTGATGGCCTGGTGGAAGTTGGTGTGGTAGCCCAGCTCGGCCAAGGTCCAGGGCAACTGCACCACATGGTGAGGCACAAAGCAAATGACGAAGACCCCCAGGACGGTGCACACCATCCACAGTGCCCGGCGCCTCACTTCGGCGTTGCGTTGCTGCTGCACCGGCTGCATGAGCAGCGTCCGGATGATGACCAGGTTGCAGGACAGTATGATGAGGAAGACGAGGAAGAAGCCCAACACGATGAAGATGTGGATGACAAGAACAGACACGCTGCCCTGTTCGTAATGCTCAAAGCAGCGGGTGATGTTGCCCGTGCCATTGTTATTGGGTACTGAGTTGGTCTCGTCCAGGACAAGGAAATAGGATGCAGCAGTCACAGTGGCCACCCAGATGGCCAGGGAGAGAAAGATGCCCCGCTTACGGGTGGTGGCCTGGGCCGTCTTGATGGGATGTGTAACAGCCTGGAAGCGGTTGTAAGTGATGACGCCCAGGAAGGCCACGGAGCAGTAGGTGTTAATGAAGAAGAAGCAGCCAGCCACGTTGCACAGGAACTTGGCAGAATCCAGTTGCCCTGGTGGTAGTAGTAAGTGATCCACAGCGGCAGGGTGATCAAGAAGAGCAGGTCGGCCACGGTCAGGTTCACCATGAAGATCTTGATCTCATTCAGCTTCTTGGCAGGGTACAGGTGGGCAAAGACCCACAGCACGTAGCCATTGGAGACCACCCCCAGCACAAAGATGATGCTGTAAACGATGGGGAAGAGAGTGTACCGGAACTCAGAGTCCACACGCAAGGACTCGTTCTGCTCCATCGCGCTAGGCTGCGGCGGGATGCTGCTCATGGGATCCTGGCTGGGCCTGGAAGACCACACAGGATTCTGGTCAATAGAGAGGGAAAAAGGGACTGTCAAACTGGGTGCCAGTGGCTCACACCTGTAATCCTAGCTACTGGGGAGGCAGAGATCAGGAGGATCGCAGTTTGAAGCCATCCCAGGGAAATAGTTCACAAGACCTTATCTCAAAAATACCCAACACAAAACAGGGCTGGTGGAGCACCTGCCTAGCCAGCATGAGTTCCTGAGTTCAAACCCCAGTACAGCCAAAAATAAAAAAGGAGGGACTGTGGATTTCACCAATTCCAAGACTCTGTGCTATGGTTGGAATCAGGGTGTCACCCTCCAGATTTCATATTGAAATTTAAGTTCCAATGTGACAGCATTAAGAGGTATGACCTGCAGGAAGTGACAAGGGGGGGGCCTCATAAGTGAAGTGAGATTAACACCCTCATAAAAGGACTCAGGGTTAAAGGGTGCACTGTCTCTTGACCTTTTTGACTTTCCCATCCTTTCTCTACTATGTGAGAATTCAGCATTCAAGATGTCATCTTGGAAGCAGATACCAGGCCTCACCGGACACTGCACCTTGATCATGAACTCCCAGCCCCAGAATTGTAGAAATAAATTTCTGTTTTTCATAAATTACCCATTCTTAAATATCCTATTATAGCAGCACTTACAGGCTGAGACACTTCCTTTATGCATTTTTTTTTTAAGACAGTCTCACTATGTAGCCCAGGCTGGCCTCAAAGTCACCATCCTCCTGCCTCCACTCACAAGTGCTAGGAATACAGGCATGTGCCATAATGCCCAGCTCTTCTGTCTGTCTCTCTCTCTCAATGCTGGGATTGAACCCAGGACTTTGCACATGACAGTACAGTGTTCTACCACTTGAGCACATCCCTAGCCTGTTTTTTTTCTTATTTTCTTTTTTTCTTCTTTTTGCAGTGCTGGAGCTAAAACCACCTAGGACCTCACATATGCTAGGTAAGCTCTCTGCCACTGAGCTAAATCTCCAGCCTTATTTAAAATCCCTGGCTCTCCCAGTGAATTGGCAGCTTTTTTCCTCCTTTCTACAGAAAGTGATGTATTTTTACAAATCTGTTTCAAAAGGCTGTGGATAGAGCTCAGTGGAGGACACTCGTCCAGCATTCACAAGGTGCTGGGTTCAATCCCAAGCCCTGCAAAAAAAAAAATAATAAATAATATATATATATATATATATATATCATATACATACATACATATATATCTAGTAATAAAACACATAAAATACACACCTCTTCCCTTCCTACCCTCTATCCCCCATCCCTCCTTTTCTCTTTCCCTCCCCTTCGTCCCTCCCTCACTCCCTCCCTGTCTGTTCAACAGTGGATTCCCAGCAGCAAGAGCCAGTGCAGGAGGGAGGCATGCCTTGCTGATTGCACGCACCCTCTGGGAGACCCACAGTGCACATTTGCATGCCTGCTTGGACAAACTGCTGACTGAGGCCATTTGGAGGCTTTGCTCCAATAGTGTGAGGGCAGCTTATCTATGTTACATTTGATAAATGTAGATTTCATTATTCCCAATAAATCACAAAGATTCCTTTAAAAACAAAAAATTCACCCACAAGTCACACCACAAAAGACATTGTTGGTTTGAAGGCACATTTAAAACCAGTGTTTTGGAGGGAGAGGAAGGGGCTGGGAGGAAGGGGGGAGAAATGATCCAAACATTGTATGCACATATGAATAAAAGAAAAAATAAATAAATAAAACCAGTGATTTGGGGATGAGGGTCTCACTGCATTGCCCAGGCTTGCCTTGAACTCCTGGGCTCAAGAGATCATCCGCCTCCCTAACAGATGGGAAGAGGCGAGTGCCACCTTGCCTGGCAGAGGACTCATTGTGCTTCCCCAACATCAGAATTGCTGCTCTGCAGGGCTCTTTGCCATTCCTGAAAGCTGTCCTGCCATTGGGTCTCAAACTCTGGGGCAACAGTTCCAAAGGAAGGACGTGGAATTGCGGGCAGTAAGATGGGGACCACGGGGAAGCTATTTTCAGGGCTGAAAATAGTCTCAAGCAGTAAGTGCACCTGCCTATCAAGCATGTAGGCTCTGAGTTCAAACTCCAGTGCTGCCAAAAAACAAAAAAAATTGAAGAAACTATTTTCAGTATAAAACCAAGTCTTTAATTTCCTTTATCACATTTTGATGTTTGCACTAATGTTGAAAAGCAATGGCAAGCCAGGTGCAGTGGCTCACACCTGTAATCCTAGCCACTTGGGAGGCTGAGATCAGGAGGATCTTGGTTTGAGGCCAGCCTGGGCAAATAGTTCATGAGACCCCATCTCCAAAAATAACCAGAGCAAAATGGACTGGAGTGGTGACTCAAGCGGTACAGCATGAGGCCCTGAGTTCAAACTCTAGTCCCACTAAAAAAAGCAATAGTAATCAGGGGCTGATGGAGTGGCTCAAGTGATAGAATGCCTGCCTAGCAAGTATGAGGCCCTGAGTTCAAACCCCAGTACCACCATAAAAAAAAAAAAAAAAAGCAATAGTAAGTAAAACTGTTAGTCTCAGCACCAATCTAGGCAATGACACGAAAGGCGTCACTGTATTCTTTACAGCATGCACTTGAAGTATAAACGCAATTAAGCACGAACGCTCAATTTAACTTTAAATGTCCTCGATAAAGCAAGAAAATTATTCATTTCAGTAAACCTTGAGCATGCATTTGTGTGTGTGTGGTATGGGGACTGATCTCAGGGTCTGGTGCTTACTAGGCAGGTGCTGTGCCATCTGAGCCCCACCCCTAGTCTCTTTGCTTCAATTATTTTTCAGATATGGTCTTGTGCTTCTGCCTGGGGCTGCATGGACCACCGTCCTCCTACCCTACACCTCCTGAGTAGCTGAGCTTACAAGCGTGCCCCACCATTCCCAACTCAGTCCACATCTTTTTTCATATTCTGTGTATAAAACAGGAAATACACATGAAAGGCTTCTGCAGCAAGTGAAGTACAACAGTGGCCTGCAGGAAAAGCACCTGTGCATTCATTTGAGTTGTGAACTGAACTTTTTGCTTGGACCACCTGTGACTGACAAGCTATGGTGTTTCAGATTTGTTCAGCAGGCAGATGTTTTCTCAAATACAAGCTTATCATCACAAGGAAAATAAATGATGGGACTTGTCACTGATGATAAAATTCAAGCATTCAAGAGAAAGTTAGAATTTCTGAACTAACGTTTGACAGCTTGTATCTTGACAGGTTTCTAGTACTTAAAGAACTTTCTACCTGAGGGTGGCGTTCCATGGTAGAACTTAGCAGCCACTGGGTTTAATCCCAGCAATAAAAGGAATTTTCTGATGAGATTGATGGAGGTTTTGTTGTTTTCCTTTGAATTTTGTTTTGGGGTGCTTTTAGTGTTTATTTGGTTTTTGGTTTTTGAGACAGGGTCTCATTATGTAGCCCAGGCTGGCCTTAAACTCTTGGTTTTTGGCAGTACGGGGATTTGAACTCAGGGCCTCACACTTGCTAGCAGGCGCTTTACTACCTGAGCCACTCCGCCAGCCTCTTTTTTGTTATGGGTTTTTTTGAGATAGGGTCTCATGAACTATTTGCCCAAGCTGGCTTCAAACCTCAATCTTCCTAATCTCTGCTTCCCAAGTAGCTAGGATTGCAGGCATGGGGCCACCAGTGCCTGGCTGGCCTTGAACTCTCGATCTTCCTGTTTCAGCCTCCTGAATGCTAGGATTACAGGAAGGCACCCCCACACCCAACTCAAGATTGATGGAGTTATTAATAAATTCAAGTGTTTTTTTGCAGAGGGTTTTCTGTTGTTGTTTTTTTTTGGGGGGGGGTTGATGCTGGGGATAAAACCCAAGGCCTTACACATGCTAGGTAAGTGCTCTTCCACTGAGCTCCATTCCAGCCCCAGATTCAAGTTCAGATGTGGTATTAATGAAAGATTGGCACGTAGAAGTTTTATAAAACTCAGAGAGTCATTTTCCAATGAGAAAGGCATGCTATTTCAGAATTATGCACGAGTAAAAGACCATTCAAATGGCAAGAGAGACCAACACACTGTCATTGAAAGTGTTACAGAAAGTTCACGGACATGGCTCCCTGCCCACGGTGTAACTCGTCATTAAGAAACTACCATTTCAGGAACTTTCTGTCAAAGAAGTCTATCACAAATTATCTGAAAAGACCATTAAAACATCCCACGATGCTTACGGTGGTAGAGCACTTGCCTATCATGAGCAAGGCCCTGGGTTCAAACCCCAGCACTGGTAAACCAGTTTCTCCTCCACTAGCTGAGGGCGGATTTCTTTTGAACACTGCAAACAAAGCCTGGCGTCACAGCTTCCTGAGAGCAGAGCAGAAACTCCAGCTTTCTATTAAGCCCAGCATCAAAGAGCTTTGCAAATGGTGTAAATCAGTGCCACTCTTCTCCCTAAATTGTTTATGTTTTACAAAACCTAGTTCTTTTTCTTCTCTAAAAATATGTTATTTAAGATGGGAAGAGTTTATTATTGGGTTTATTTTAGAAAGAATTTTTTTTTAGAATGCTTAGTTGTGCCAGAGGCATGGATCAAGCAGTAGAGCACTTGCCTGGCAAGCATGAAGCCCTGAGTTCAAATCCCAAAAAAAAAAACCAAGGGTGCCCAGTTATAATTTTTGTGTTTGTGCTGCCGGGGGTTAACTGAGGGCCTTGTGCATAGACTAAGTGTCCCCAGGCCTTTAATTTTTTGTATGGTAAATGTTGATAGATACCATGCAGATAAACAAAAACTCCTTGGGACCCTCAATAACTATGAAGGTTATAAAAGATTCTGAAGGCCAGAAGGTTTGGCCATTGCTCCACAATCCCACCCCACTCCCTTCCCTTAAGGCCTGGCTGCCCCTCGTCTGAGACTGGCCTTGCTTCTCTCTCCTGCAGGACCCTGTTCCTGGGATGAAGAGACATGTGGCTTAGCCCTGTCCAAGGAGGCAGGGGGTAGCGGCAGCCCATAGCTGGGCAAGGCCCAGTGCTCACTCTGGTTCTTGGGGAAGTCCTG